ACAGCAACATTTGCTAGACAATGAGGACCCCCTCCTGCTCAAGATAAGTGTTTTAAACTCTGAATGCATTACCCAGACAGAATGCTGGCCACTAAATCACAGAAGAGACTTTCCCTAAGTAGGCACCTGCACAGCAACAGTAAAGATTGTCCTTAAGGTGAACTTATGAGGTAGATTATCATAAGCATTATTGGTAGCCACATACACAGTTTTAATTTGCCTCTGTATATTTTTTTTTTGTTACCAAGGGATCATGGCTTGAACCAGGTCCAGGATATTTGGATCAGACCCAGGATATTTGGTGGTACTTTCTGCTCTGTTTTTGCCTTGCTACTTGCTGGTTCCTCTAAGGAACCTAGGCTGCTGGAGAGTGTTAACCGCGATATACTTGGGCTGGAGATGGTCTGAGTCTGCGAATTCTTTTAAGATGACCCCACAACACACACCAGTCCACCATAACATTTTTGTTGTTCCTGGGTGGGCCCAGTCTCTGATTCAAACCCTCTCCAATCCAAGGTAAGCCTTTCCCTTTCCTCTCTCTTAGATGAGATCCCCCAAGTACAGAGGAAGGCTTGAAGGGATGGTGGGCCCTAGAGCCTATGAGCCTCTGTGCCTGGCAAATTCCCTTTTGGGAACCTTTGTGTCGAAATTCACTCTAGACAGAGGTCACTCTCTTTGGGAACCTTTGTGGTTAGCTTCCTGAGCTCCTTTTTCTCCCTCTCCATGGGACATTGTGTGATGAAGTGAGGGGCTATGGTGAGGAATCTTTAGACTTATTGCATAGGGGAGCAGTCCCCTCCAACATCGTGGCACTACCAAGCTGTAATAGAGCCTCACCTCAATACAATCTAGAGGCCCAAGAAAAGTGACTTGAGGGAAGGGCATTTATAACAAGCCTCTTCAAGCTTGTGGACTTCCCTCTTTGTCTCTGTGTCTGTGTGAACATGTCTGTAAGATTTAAAATGCAGGCAGTCAGAAAAGAAAAAACCTCTAAGGGATGTAGATAGAGAAAGATTAATGAACTCTCTTGTTAAAGAAAATGTTGTTGAGCAAAACCCTTTCTCTCTCTCTCTCTCTCTCTCTGTCTCTCTCTCTCTTTCCCTGTTCGTGATATGTGGCCAAGTTCTGAGTGTGAAGGGACAGACAGACAGGAAAAGGGAAGGGGGGAACCTTTTCCTCTCAGGTCTAAGAGAACAAGATCATTTCACTTACCAAAGACAGGCAGTGCCACTGAAAATTTCAAAGCTGCATTTTGGAATAGAACATGTACTTAAAGAGTCTGTGTGAACTGGGGCACAGCCAAAGGGAATTGGATTTTATTGGAACATCTTGCTAGAATTTAGGGAGTCTTACAAGCTAAAGTTAACTCCTGGTCAGTTTTAAAATAACTTTTTAAAGTCGGTATGTGTGTTAAAATTGGCCACTTGACCAAATTACATGAGACTCTTATTCATAAGAAGAAGTCATGGAGAGGTGTGGGTTCCTTCCAAGATTGTGGAGTCCAGATTGGAATGAAATTAGATGTGCTCTTCAGGGGGATAATTGGGGTGTATTTGTGTAAAATAGAATACTACAGTTAGTATTAAAATCATAACCCCAGATTTTGTGTAATAACATTTGGAATATTGATCCAGGTAATCAAATTCATTGTGGTAACATCTTAAGTGAAATATTGTTTTTTTCGTTTGATGTTTAAGATAAGACCGTATATTGTACTATTTGGCACTAAGATAAATTGGGAAAATGCATAGAT